CACCAGCAACATGTGATAGCCTGGGCTTGCCACAGGAAGGGCCTGATCTGCATATACTGAGTAGCAGCACCCTGGTGCTGCCCACCTGCAGCCAGCTCTGCAAATCAAGTGTGCAGCTGACCTTGGGGAAGGGTAGAGACTAGTTTACCCCAGAAGTGGCTCTAAGAGGACATTCTTAGAAGGTTATCTGAGAAAGTCCCTTTTCTGGCTAGTGGTGCCATGGCCCGTTTTCTACCCTGAAGATTTTTAACTGAAAAACATGCCCAATTTCTAAAAAAATAAGGAGTAGAGACCAAGTGTGGTGACTTTAGTTCCAGCACTTGGGAAGCAGGGATAGTCAGATCTTCATGAGTTCTAGGACAGCCAAACATGCACAGTGAGACCCTCTGTCTTGAAATATATATATATTAAAAAAAGAAAAGGAAGTGAACTCGGAAGTTGGATCAAGGCTAAAAGGTTAAAAAAAATGCAACACACTTATTCCTTAAGATCAGAAGAGTGTGTCTGTCCTTTGACTCAGAGGCTCTTTGCGGTCAGTGTGACTGGGTGGGGGGACCACATTAGGGGGCAGTGTTAAGTGACAGGATTGATGCCGGGGGGATGCTTGCTGTGGAGTAGACAGTGCCTACAGTGCCTACAGAGGCAGAGGCAGCTCATATTCTTGCCACCTGCTTCAGTCTTGCAATGCAAGAGAGAGGCCACTGCCTGGAAACCCAGTAAACAGGTCCAGTAGTGGCAGCTGTGGGGAGCAGAGGAAAAGGTGAAGTTGGCTTCTTTGGAGAAAATCCTAATTGTAAGGTTGCTCTGGCTTGGGACCTATGATGGACGAAAGGAAGAGGAGGGCAAGAACACACTACTCACCCGAGCTTCCTGTGTCTGGACTGCTCCTCGGCTAACCTGTGGCAGCATAGCAGAAATAACACCGAGGTCACACTCAGGCTCTTAGGTCCCTGGACTTCTCTCAGGGGGCGTTCCTGACCCACCCGGCCCAGGGGCTAGATTTATATCTCCCTTTCTCTTGAGCTTTCCTGCCAGGGATAACGAGGTAGAGGCAGATTACTGACAACCCACAACTCAACACTTGACAGGAGTGAAGGAAAATAAACCAATGGAAGCAGAGCTACCTTAACTATAAGGTTGGAGCCTGTTTGGTTCTGAAAAACAGTTTTGATAGGGACATCGTTTCTCTATGTTCTGATGGGGATATTGTTGTTTTGCTATGCTCTGGAACAGTTTCACTATTCAGATGCCCCTTGGGTGTTCCGAGTCCGTGTCTGTCCTCAGAGAGGGCCTTGGCTGCCCAGACATGGGTCAGTATGTTTCAGTGTATGCACTAGATTGCCAGGGAACACTCTGAAGGACACAGCAGCTCTGGAATGGCTCAGATGAATGTGGAGTATGGAGGCAATGGCCTATGCATCATTCTGTGGTCTTCTTTAACGCTCAGGATAAAGGGCAGCCCAGAGAGAATGGCACCACAGAGTAGCAGCATCCTTCTCTGGGATTCAGACAGCCAGGGTAGGGCAGGCAGAGGTGACAGCTAGGGGTGAATAGGGCAGGGAAGCCTGCTTTGGTCAGAGTTCTTCCAAAGTGCCCATGCGCTGCTCACATGCGTTGAAAACACCATGTGTGCTCAGCAGGGAGCTGACTGGGTTGTGTTTATGTCACATGAGCCTGAATTCACCCCAAAGAAGAGAAATCTTCCTCTGTAAAATTAATAGCTATTGATTCTAAATGTCCCCACACCATATTTGCAAGGATTCACACAAAAACAAACTCTCCTCATCTCATAGCCTGACTCTTTGCCCTCTTGCTCTTAGAGATGGCACCCAAAAGCCATAGAAGCTCAGGCATTCTCACAGCCTTCATACAGACATACAGATACTGGTGTGTGCACTTGGAGGGATGAAGAGAGACTAAGAGCTAAGAGCAAGCAACCAGTCAGACAGGAAGGTACTGACAGGGTCAGTCAGGGACAGAGACAGAGGGCCCTGAGCCAGGTCGGGCCAACAGAAACCACGCCAATTCCTACAAGCGACTGAGGGGGATCCATGGTCAAGGCAAGAGAGAAGCAGCAAAGGCAGGGCTCTAGGCTTGTTTGGGGGTGGAGGGGAGCTGAGGAGGGGTCTGGAGGAGCACATAGGAAGGAAGGTCAAGGTAGCAGCTGCTATGTCTTTAGTCAAGAAATTTCCATAGCAATGCTGAAGTTTGGTTTGGGCATGGGCATGTGTTTTGGGGGGTAGGTGGGTGTTTACATGGTGGCATGTCTCCGTCCCTCCTGCTTCATGGATTTTCTTATCTGGACCTGAACCCCTGAATGGCTGTTCTCCTCTGACAGCCTCAAGTGTGGCCAAGACAGCAATTCCCACCAACTCATGCCCAGTGGCCCATTTCTCCCAGGTCTTGCTTTGGCTTCCTAATGGTTTCTGTAGTTGCACAATGTTTTTTCCTTGGCTATGTAAGTGCCTTTGCTGACAAATTCCTTGCCCTGAGCCTGCAAACACTTTCTCTTATCCTTACCACCTCAGGGGCAAATAGCAGTACAGAGCCACTGTTCTGAGGGGGTACCCACCTGTCCCCCTCTTGACTGCCTTTCACTTTGCACGCGGGCTTGGGTTGGAGACTCCTGGAGTGAATCCAGGTCCTGCCACTTATTAACCTGCCCAGTTAATAAGCTTCACAGCCTTGTCTAGAATTCTTCCCCCGTGAAGCCAATGAAGATGGCTGTGTTACAGACTTACCTACTGGTCTAGTAGGTAGCTAGGAGCTAGCATGGGTCTCTCCTCACCTCTTCTGTTTCTCCTATCACCTCCCAAGGTTGGTAGACCACTCCCTCTTACTTAATGGTATCATGTCATCCTGTTCACTTCCTTAGACAGGTTCATTCACTGACATTACTAGATGACAGGCACTGTTCCAGAAACTGGGAATACATCACCAACAACACAGGCCAAAGCCTCTGCCTTAGGGAGTTTATGTTCTGGAAGAATCCAGAAACAACATATTAATATGCGATAGACATAACTGGAGACTCCCAAGTGTTTCAGGAGGATTTTGTTGCCTGTTTAATATACCACTGAAAGATGACAATCAAGAACACGAGGTTTGGTACACAAGGAACCCTGTCTCAAAAACAAACAAACAAACAAACAAAAGAGAACATGAAGTCTGGAGTCAGAAGGACCCACCTCAAGTCTACCTATCCCCACCCACAGGCATTTGAGCAGACTCCCCCAGAATTGGTTTCCCTATTAATAAAATGGGCATATTATTATCTGCATATTTCAATGCAATGTGAAATCATTTAGCACAGCTCTCTTCCCACATAACAAGTACATAAATAGTTTATACACATAGTGAGACTAGGAACACATTACTGTCCTTTGCCGACATCTTTCTATCTTGCTTTTATTCTTCCAGGAAGCCATCTATTCCAACCTACAAGTCTGTTCCTTTTCAGAAAGTCTTAGTATTACTTATTATACATTTAATGGTTTGTTTTGAGACAGGGTTTCTCTGTGTAACTTTGGCTCTCCTAGAATTTGCTCTGTAACCCACACTGGCCTCAAACTCACTTTGCCGCAGAGAATGAGCCTGAATTTCAGATCCTCTTGTCTCCACCTGCCAAACACAGGGATTACATGGGCTTGTCACTGCTCCTGTGGCTTACGTGGTGCAGAGGTTTAGCCTGGGCTTTAGGTATGCTAGGTGAGTGATTTACCAACTGAGCTACTTCCCTAGCCAACATTTACTTTTCTAATCAACATTTTATGCTGCCGTTTTCTTCCTCTGCACATCTCAGTTGTGATTCCCCAACTGAGGTAGACCATCAACCCTATAGGGAAGGGCAACATTTTGTGACTTTTTTGCACCCCAGAGTACAAGTAAACCGCCTGACGTCACTACCTGTGGGCATACCTCAGAGGCAGTCAGGAGGACGGGCAGGAGGAACAATGGGGGCTGCAGACTTGGGGAGGGTGTGGTAGGAGAGAGGTCAGAATCAAAGGGGAAGGAAGTCAGCATTCGCTGCTCTAGAGCTTGGGCTCCCATTCAGACTAGCAGTGCTGACTTGCCTTCACCTCTGTCTTTCTCATCCTGCATCTCCTCTTCTTCCTCTGTACCTTCCTTTGCTGTGGAAACAAATCCAAGGGGGCCAGTGACTCTCTGGTCTAGCGCCAGTGTGGGAGGCAGGTGAGTGAGGCCACTTGGGAGGTTGGAGGCCTGAGGCAGAGACCTAAGACAGCAAGTAGCCTCCAGGGTGTATAAACGTCCCTTGCCCATGCCCAACAGCTCCACACTCTGGCACTGTCTGACTGGAGCGCTGAACGTCCATGGAGCAGGGCGTATGATGCTGGTGTCTCTGGTGATCAGGGTAGCGGTGCTATCTACTAGGGTGGCACTCAGCATTTTGCATCCAGGTTCAAGAAAACAAGAAGTGCATGGTAGAGGCAAACCCAGATTTTAACACCAGCTTTGAAGTGGGGCTGTGTGCTCAACTCTGGGTGTTCTCTCTGAATTGGGACCTTGGAAACCAGGTCACATCTTGCCAGGTATGGCCAATTAGGAAAACAGACAATCATGTCATATATGATACATGTTGAAGGGATTGGGTAAAATCTACTCAGAAAGGAGAAAACTTGAGAGTTAACACATTATTTACCACCCACCACTCAAAAGGTGGCCTGGAGAGGAAGTCTGGACTTAGGGCAGCTTTAGGCAGGCAACAACCCACGACAGAAAGGGAGATTTTAGCTCCCTAATAAGGAAGAAATCTCCAGTGATTAGAGCTGGCTGTGAATGAGCTCCCTGGAAATAGTCAGACTGGAGGCTTTTACTATGACAGCAAATTCAATGAAAATATTTTTGAAGGATGAGGAAGACAAACTATAGATGTGTGCCTTGTGAGTGCTGTGGGAAGTGTCTGAAAATTCAACCTGGATATCCACTCCCAACAAAAGCCCGTGAAGCCGCTTTCAAAGAAGACGTCAACATGCACTGTATTGGGCAGGACTCTCCCATTCACTGAGGGATAGGATTTATTCTGTGTTTAACAAGGGTACTGGGTGGATCCTGTGTGCATTCATCTGTGTCAGACGATAGGCTTCTGTGCTTGGGATAGGGGCCTCGCAGAACCTGCCTTGTTGTCTGTCCTGGGTCAGCTCAGAGTCTGGCATCATGTTTCTCTACACCCAAGCTCTAGAACTAGCTTTGCCTCTGCATGCAATGTGATCTCAAACAAATTAACTTTTCTGAAAAACCCCTCACCACATTTCTAAAATAAGGCTGGACAACAGGATCACTAACATACCTTCTAAATGACACAATTTTATTAAAACCAACTTTTCATATTAATTGATGTTCTCTCGTCCTCCTCCCACCATATAACCTTTGACTTCTTCATAAGCCTCCCAAGTACGGGGGATTGCAGGCATGCAATACCATGACTGACTCAGTTTTCTGTCAATCAAATTACATTCTCATTCTTGAGTACTGAGCTCGTGAGCCACTTGCTTTGCATAAACTCTAACTGTACTTCATCTGCATGTCCTAAAAATCCCTAAGAAACTCCCTCTAAAACTGTAAGTGAAGTCTATTAGGGAAGTATATTAGAGTAAGGGTATTCAAATCAGCTGTGAGGTCTTCCTGAGGTTACCCCTCACCCCTACACCCTGCTTTGTGCATGTTCAGTGAGGGCTGGGCTTCGGTGTGGGCATGAGAAATAGGATGAAAGAGGGTGAGGGCATCATATTGCCTGTGGCAGGACAGGTGACTGACCTGAGCTGGGAAAGCCAATCAGGCCACAGGTGTAATCTCTTCTGAAGAAAACACATGGACTTGAGGGCTGAGGTGTGGAAAGGATGACAGCCCTAAAGGAGATGCTTTCCCCTGCTGCAAACATCCTGGGCTTCCCTTTCACGAGAGTGTCTGAACGGCCCTGGAAACACTGCTCTGTGCTTTTGCTTGACAGCTCTGTAAGCCACTGCAGAGCACTCACAAGCAATGTTTGGGTAACTAAGACAGAGATGGGCCTTCGGTGTAAATGATGCAGCTCTCAAAGGATGCCATAGCTAGAAAATAATCCCTAAGCTCCGAGTGGCCATGTCACTGATGGAGCTGGCAAGTACTTGGAGATATGGTGGTTTTGTCCTTTCTCTCTTTCCCAGGTTTCATGTAAGAGGAAAACACTGTGAAGCAGAGAACTCTGGGAAGCCACTACACTGGCTGAGTCATGGAGGGAAGGAGAAAGAAGTCAAGAAGGACCAAACATGAAGAACAGAGGGAGCTGCAGCTGGGACCTTCAGGTCAGATCAGAGCCTGGTCATGGACAAAAGGAGAAGACAAGAGTTTCAAAACAGAATCAAACAGCAGGAAGCCAGAGGGCGGCTGGAAGAGAGATAGGTGGATTGGTGCTGACTGCTGCCACATCCAGGATAGCTTCAGAATGAGGCGATGGCCAGCCTAGGGAAAGAGCCACTGTGGACAAAGTGTAGGTGGAGACAGTGAGGGGAGGCTTTGGCTGCACTGAAGAGCAGACTTTGCTTCAAGTTGGAATTGTGTCTGCTCCTTCAGACTGTTCTTAATACAAACTGTGATCACATGTGGGAGGGAGGCACTGGGTGAAGCTCCTGTGTGTTCCTAGAAGGGAGAATGGACTGGAAAGAAGCGCCGTGTGCCTGGTGGCAGGAGAGGGCAGGCACAGAGGGGCACAGAGGGGAGGCGGAGACCGGTGGGGAGCTCTGGGTTTCACCTGAATGGAGCTCCTTCACCAGAGATGACATGGTATTGGTGATGGAGTCGGCAGCCACCAGCAGATCGTTACGGAGGTTTCTCCTCGTACCTGAGGAGTCAGAGCAGATGGCAATGTAGATGGGTGAGCATGGAGAGAGTTCTGAGAGATGCCCCAGCCAGTGAGGCCCTGGAACCCAGGTGCAGAGATGACTAGGGGAGGCGGGACTTCGGCAGCTCTGCGTGCTCCTGGAACACCCACTCACCCCACCGGGAGAGCCAGGGCCTGTCAAGTCCATACTTTGTACGCACCACAGTAGAGTGGGGTTCCTCAATCTCAGAGTGCCGGGCTAAATTCTCTAACACCACTGTCTCTCATTTCCTTGTCTCCACCCCCCACCAAGACTCCTTTGCCCATTATTTAAGATTGTGGATCCCTAGTTCCTCAGTTGGTCGCCGTGGCAAGTGCATCTGGCTAGGTCCTTTGGAGATTAGCACTCTTCCCATTCTTGCTTATTTGACCTTTTAGGTCAAATGTGTGAGGAAGCAAAGCCCAAAGGGCAAGACATTTCCTTCACTCCAGAGCTCAGAACCCAAGACGCCAGTCATCTTCACACATGTCCCTGCAGACCTCCCATGAAGACCAGCCTATCATAGAGAAGGAGCCAGCACATAACTTATTTATACTGTAAATCTGATCATCCAAAGCCGAGAACACAAAAGGAAAGCAACTGGAAAAATCCTGGCGGGGATCCTGTATGTGCTTCCAGCCCCTTAGTTGTCCACAGACTGGCCTGGAAACTCACCTTGTGCAAAGGCCTCCTGTACGTCGCCCCCAACTCCACTCAGTGAATCCTGTGGGCCATGGGTAGGGGTGGAGCCAGCAGACGTGGAACGCACAGGCATGGGCATAGGGCGGCCACCTCCATGAGTGGGTGATGTGTGAGGTGACCCTGTGGCTTGAGCCTGGGAGGATAGGAGAGAAAACATGTCATCTTGGGTGTCCAATATCTCTAAGAAAAGGGGAAAGCACTTCTCAGGATCATGCTTTAAAAAAAAAGAAAAAAGAAAAAGAGCCAGTTCAAAACTACAGGGTAAGAACCTGCCTCAGAAAATCAAAACCAAAGACAGGCTGAGAGAGATGGCACGTGGCAGGGCAGGGAGAGGAGATGCATCCAGGAGGATCCAAGAGGGAAAAAATAAAAAAATCCACAAACACCCTCATGTATGTATGTCAACATTCTGTACCCATTCTCATCTGATCCACAAGAACCTGTGGGTAGAAAGTACCCATCTTTTAATATAACTCTTATGGATGAAACCAAGATCACGTGAGAGGAAGCACGGTTCACCAGAAGAACCCCTTCCATTCCACAGGCAGCATGGTGGCCTTCCTTCTCACATGAGAGATCCGGGCCTGGTCAGCAAAACCACCAGCACACCTGCTCAGGTGTGCTGAGCCAGAGGGTCAGGTGACAGCAGCCACATGCTCACTGGAGGGGGCCTTCCTCAGGAAAACTTGGTATAGGTTTGGATTTTTCTCCCAAGCTTTGATCATCCCTCCCCCCCTCTCTCTCTCCCTCCCTCCTTCCCTTTCTTCCTCTCTCTCTCTCTCTCTCTCTCTGTCTCTGTCTCTCTCTCTTTCATCTCTTCTACATAACGTAGCTGTCTTGGACCTATGAAGACCAGGATGGCCTTGAACTCACAGAGATCTGCCTTTCTCTGCCTCCTGAGTTCTGGGATTAAAGGTGTGCTCCAGCACTACCCAGCTATTCATTACTCTTAAAGACTTATTTTTGACTGGACTCAGACTTGGAAGTAAAAGCTCTTGGCAAGGACAGCCTACAGTTCTTGGCAATCTGTTTCTGGTATTTCTCTTTGTCCTCCTTCATTCTCTTGGCCAAAAGTTTAGCATGTTCTGCAGCCTCCTGGTTTTGCTTAATGTATTGTTTCTTCACAGCAGTATGCTGCATTTGTGTTGCAGGACACAAGGAGGAACAAGACCCTGAATCTTGGGTGTGTTGGTCCTGGGCTGCTTACCTCCTTTGTTTAAGGGCTATCTGACAACACTAGTGGACATCATGTTTAGAGAAACTGAAGTTTTCAGTTTCTGCTAGCTCTTTTGGGCCCCAACCACCAAAGCACAGTAGTGTCTGTCAGTCCAGGAAAATCCTTCTCTCTTTAAAATAACCAAGTTGAGGACACTCAGACTGTCACCCACAATGCATGAGGAACAGAGGCTCACTTCTCTCTAGTTCTCCTTGGTCTGTAACAAGAATAATACCACTTTCCGCTGTGGGTCAATACACCTGGCTTCATGGGAAAACCTTGTTTGTTGTTCACCAGAGCATCAGCAGTTACTTCTGGGGCCATGCGCTTCCAGCAGAAACTTCAAAGTTTGCGTTCGTTGTTCACTTCGATGTTTCTGATGGTCACTGGCTGGGGAAGAGATACTTAGTTTTGTCTTGACAGGGTTGACCCCCTGAGAGGTAGCTTGGAGCGATGGGGTGTGACAGTTGGAAGAACCAAACTAATCAGAGGCAGTTCCCTGACTCAGGGGGTCAGATTGGAGGACTTTGTGGGAGCAAAACTGGGAAGAATAGAAGTGTCAGTGAGAACAAGTTCATGTGAATCCCTCTGGGGATCTAGCCTAGAAATGCCACACAGACATGGACTATGCCCGGAACCGGCTGCCTGGAGGTCTGCACAATGCCTCCCTCACTGCTGCAGCTGTGTGGGTGCTGAATGAAATATTTTCTTCTCTAGCATCATTATTTTTTAGGTTTGTTTTCTGAACCCTGGCCTCAACTTGCAGACCTTCCTGCTGCAGTCCCATGCTGGGATTTCAGGGGCATGCCACTCCACCCTGTTCTCTGTGATGCTGGCTGAACCTTCATGTGTAGGTGTGTTATTTATTCACTTAAAAATAAAATAAAATAAAAAAAAACAAACAGGGTCTCATGTACCCTAGGCTGGCTTTGGACTCCTGTTCCTCCTGCCTCTACCTCCCACATATTAGGAGTATAGGCATACAATAATTCTAGCTCTGTGTGTGTTTTAATTTAAGAAATGTAAAAGCTCAGAAAACGACCAAGTATAACACCATAAACCACCCCAAATGAATAATTACATACAATTTATTTTAATCTAAAAACAGTACAGATAATACTTGAAGATTCCTTTACCGCCAATTCTTCGAAGGCTCAGTCCCTTTCCTTTTGGAAACTTCCTTTTTTTTTTTTTTTCCCAGAGATTGTGGTGTGGAATTTTTTTTTAACCTATTTGTAGATATACAACTATGAATTTGATTTCATGCCTTTAAATTCTGTATGAATAGTATTGAACTACAATAATTACCTTTAAATTTGCTTTCATTACTTAGCACACTCTTCGAGAATAACCCATGATACAAATAAATATGAATTTAGACCCTTACTTCATCTCACACTAAAAAAAAAACAAACCACCAGGTAGGGGTGGTGCACCCCTTTAATCCCAGAGTGTGGGAGGCAGAGGCAGGCAGATCTCTGAGTTTGAAGCCAGCCTGGTCTAGAGAGTGAATTCCAGGACAGCCAGGAATACACAGAGAACCCCTGTCTTGAAAACCAAATCCCCTGCAAAAAAGTCCAAAACCAAACAAACAGAAGAACCTCAAAATGAAACATACTAAGTATTAGGCCTAATATCTCACAACTTCTCAAAGAAAGCAAAGGAAAATCCTATGCAAAGACGTTTTAAATATAATACCCAAACCATTATGTTTAAAAGAAAAAAAGGAATAATTTTTTTAATGTGTGTAAGAGACCACAGATCAATATTAGGCACCCTCTACAATTACTTCTCATCTTATCTTTTCTTAAGATTTACTTATTTTTGCCGGGCGTTGGTGGCACACGCCTTTAATCCCAGTACTCAGGAGGCAGAGGCAGGCAGACCGCTGTGAGTTCGAGGCCAGCCTGGGCCCCAGAGCGAATGCCAGGATAGTCTCTATAGCTACACAGAGAAACCCTGTCTCGAAAAACCAAAAAAAAAAAAAAAAAAAAAAAAAATTACTTATTTTATGTGTATGGGTGTTTTGCCTGCCTTTATGTGGGTCTGTGTACCACATGTGTACCTGGTACCCAAAGATGAGTCAGATCCCCTAGAACTGGAGTTACAAATAATTGTGAGCTGCCATGTGTGTGTTTGGAATTGAACTCAGGACCTCTGGAAGAGCAGCCAGGGTCTTTTTTTTTTTTTTTTTTTTTTTTTTCTGGCTGTCCTGGAACTCACTCTGTAGACCAGACTGACCTTGAACTCACAGAGATCTCCTGCCTCTACTTCCCAAATGCTGGGACTATGGGTATTTGCTACCATATCTAGCATGGCCATTGCTCTTAACTGCTGAGCCATCTCTCCACACTCCGCCTGAGATGGGGTCTCTCCCTGAACCTGGGGTTCATTGATTAGGCTACTCTAGCAGTCCAGCAAGCCCCCGGGATTTTCTTATGTCTGCATCCCCAGTGCTGGGATTACAAGTGCATGCCACCATTTCCTTATTTTGCATGCCAAGTGCTTTCCCAACAAGTCATCTCCCCAGCCCATGATAAACTGGCTTTTTATTAAGTTAGAGACTTTTACCAAAATATTCAAGAAGAGAAGATTTCAAATGCTCTTATCACAGGAAATTATTACCTGTTTATAATGATGGATATCCTAGTTAATTGATACAATATATAAATTAGATCAGGCTATATTACAAAGAGATGTAAAATTATCATCTTTTGATTAAAAAAAAACAGCACTCTTTGCTCTTCAAAGTAAGTCATTAAACTCTGTATGGGCAGATCAACTAAAAAACGGATCAACAATCTAAATAAATAAAACAAGAATAGCACTGGGGAGGTAGAGCTCTAAGTTGAGGCCAGCTGGTCTACATAGTGACCCTGCCTGGAGGGAGGGGAATGCAGAGAGGATAGAGGGAGAGGGAGAGGGAGAGGAAGGGAGGAAGGGAGAGAGAGGGGGGGAGAGGAAGGGAGGTAGGGAGAGAGACAGAGACAGAGAGAGAGAGAGAGAGAGAGAGAGAGAGAATGAGCGAACCAGTGCTCAGAGTTGGAAGTGCTTGCAATCTCCTCTATTCTTCCCCGGACCCAATCTTCCTGATCCCTCATGTCTTCCTCTCCGCTCCTCTTGTCCCCTTCTCTTTCTCCTAACTTCCTCTCTCCTCCTTCCATGCTCCCAATTTGCTCAGAAGATCTTGTCCCTTTTCCCTTCTCTATCCCAGAACTTTGGAGGGAGAGGCTGCAGAGCCTGGGTTCAGTGAGCTTCAGTTAGGACCATCTGGGTTGCATGAGACACTGTGTCAATAAACAGTCACAGCTGGAGAGATCACTGCTGTCAAATAAGGGCATTTTTCCGGTGGTTCCAAGGGAACCAAGACCCACTTCTGGCCTCCACGGGCCTGTGTGCACACATATATAAAATAATAAGTGAAAAACAACAGCAAAAGAAAATGAAAGGGTGCCACAAAGGGAGAAAAGACTTAAGATGACACATCTGATAAGGGACCTTACTTAGCACACACAAAGAACTCTCCCAAGTCAGTCACAGAAGGACAAATACTCTAACTTTAAAACGGGCAAAAGATCAAACAGATAATTCTCTAAAATTACAAAGAAGTCCAACGGACATGAAAAAGATGCTTGATGCACTGAACACTGGGGAAAGAAACGAAGAACACGATGAAAGACCACTCTACACCCATTAGGATGAATATCACAAAACAGATAGTAACAAGTGCTGACAAGAATGCGGAGAAACTGGAATCCTCAGACACTGCCAACAGGAATGTAAAATGATGCAGCTGCTTTGGAAAACGGCCTGGATGCTCCTCAAAAGGCCGAGTAACACATGACACGGCAATCACTCTCAGGTATATACCCACCCAAGAGAAATGAAAACATGTTTGAACAAAAATCGGTGTCCAG